TGGAGTCGGAGTCGAAATCGGGATCGAGGTCTGAATCATAGACAAATTCGGGGTTGTGGTCATCATTGGAGTTGGGGTCGAGGTTGTCTTCGGAGTCGGGGTCGGGGTCGTCGTCGTCATAGTCGAGGTCGGGGTTGAGGTCGTCAAAATAGGCTCCTGATTCCTGATCGGGTTCGGGGTCATCAAAATAGGATCCTGATTCAGGATCAAATTCGGGGCCAAAGTCTGCATCTGTAGGAGCTGAGCCATTTGGGCACTCAACTCAGGTATGGTTGGTTGAGAAGGAGAGAAGGAGTCGGTGGTGCTACCTCCATGAGGGTTGAAAAAATCATCAACCCCCATAGCGGGGGCGGGGGTTTGAAACTAGAGTCAGCAATTCCAAGATCGTCGCTCTGATACCATGCTAAAATATGAAAACTATGAGAGAATATTTGTTTGTGGGAATTTTCTATGTATTCTTCTCCTTGTAGGAGGTCATATTTATAACACAACAAAACCTGAATGGGCAAGTAAATAATAAATTCCTAAATCTATTTACAGTAGGAAATCAGGAGTTAAAGTAAATCAATTACAAATAAAATAGGAATCCTTGGTGTGTAAGGAAAGTAAGTCAATATCCACAAGTCACGCCAACAAAAACCATGCCTTTTGGTCGATGATTAAGGATTATCAAATTATAGATGTAGGATACAATAACTTATTTTATGACTTGGAGTCCATGAAACCATGCCTTTTGGTCAATGATTAAGGATTATCAAATTATAGATGTAGGTCTTCTAAACCCAATTACTGTGCGAGTTTGAAAGTTAAACATGGAAGGAAAAAGAAACAGGCAAGTCAGATAGTTTTGTTTAAGGCCACAAGTCATTCATCTTGTATTCTCTTGGTTGCAAGAAATCTAGAATATCTTATGCTTCCAATGCTGCTGGCCTGGCTGCTCATTTGTTGCTTTAGTTCCTGTTTATAAGGACTTGGATTTCGGATACAACAGGCTGTGTGCCTTCTAGGTTTTGTGCCTATAGATGAAGAAGGGCAACCGAACCAAATGGTGGTAAGCCACCCTCGACATCAATGTGCTATAAGCTCAATCTTTCAATGACATGGATTGAAACCAGACTGAGTTAAGTCTCAGTCTCTAATCTAATTTTAAGAACCAACAAAACCCATCACAAATTTCAGCTTAAAGAAGTCGCAGGCAAGAGGCCAAGATATATATATATATATATATATATATGGATTTGCGCTTGTCAAATTCAAAACTGAAGTGGTCTTGAAGAATGAATGAAACAGAGGACTCTGTTGTTGAGAGAGAACAAGGAACAGAGTGTAGAACAAAACTTAGAAAGTCCTGCTTCCGTAGCCATTGTATCAATCCGGCCAATGGGATGGGTCCTTTCAATTAGTCATCCACGACTAACACCACAAAGTCTAGGTTAGGTACCCTTGTGGATACGTTTTCCTCTTACCCCGTCTCCTACTTAAACCATCAAGACCGCCAGAGAAAATGACAGCCAGAAAAAAGGACCCAGTTCATAATTACGTTTTACTAATGCCAACTCCTCATATTCTTTCTTAAATTGCGGGAGGGAAATGATAATGACCAAAATTATATAACGATGATGCCTTTTGGTATATTATTTATTTATTAGGTCAGATATATCATATATGGGATGCCTTTACGACCAAATAATATTCTGTAATTCAATATCATAGTAGCATTCTTTGCAGTCAACGTTTCAACTAAGATGCTTTTCATGGATGTGAAACTGTTCGGACTGTCCAGTGTTCACACAATTATGTAAGTACACCCGAAAGAAGGGCGAAACCTGGTTCACGAGTCAGGAGAAGTTATCTTTGCTGCCGTAATGTGTGGTTCAAAGGAGTTGCAAGGTGATCTCTTTTTTAAGACCATGATTTCAATTTTGAATGTTATCATCATGGGCTGAAAAGTCAAGGGGTCAAGTCTTTCTTTCGAGTGCTGGTCAATGGGGAAGATGAGAAGGAAACTCCCTCATGGGAGTCTCGTCTTTAAGCCAACCAATCAACAGTGTGTTTATCAAGCACTTGTTTCAACCTAGTTGTACGAGTCTTCCCCTTCCAATTTCCAAGTCAACTAGCGTGTTAAACACAGAATGAACTTAATATATTGTGAAGCAAGAATGGAAGTAAACAATTCAGCAGTCTTGTTCTGAACTTGAGAAGTAGATCCTTTTGTTTTTCTTTTTCCGTGGTGCTTTAGTTCTGGCTCTTCAGTTCAGCTGGGAATTTCTCGATGGCTCCCGTGGCTTTGTTTATTTTCTCTCTTCTCGCTCATCTCATTCTTCTTCACTCTACCAAAGAAGAGGAATTCTACAAACGCTGTCCTCCCTTCCACTGTAATGATCAACTAAGCAAACTCCAGTTCCCCTTCAAAAATACGACACAACCTCCTGAATGCGGCGGGTTGTTCACAGTTGATTGTTCTGATCAGGCTCGTCCGAGGATCCAACTGAAAGATAAAGGATACTGGCATGAATTAGAGAGCATCTCTCCAACAAATACGATTATAATAGATGACAAAGAGCTTCACCAGCGCTTGAAAACAGATTCCTGCAATGATCAATTTTTCAACGATTTGAGTCTTCCCACCCCTTCTTCAGTCGGATTCTTCACACACAATATGACCCTCGTCAAATGCGACAACACCGCACAAACCCTCCCCAATGCAGATTTTAACCACATCTGTACAAATGCTACTACTTACTATACTCCTTCGCCTCATAATAATTTAAGTAGTCTCCCATTCCAACCACCATGTACCATCATTCTTATGCCCGCGGATCCATCTAAACCTCCCTTCGATCTCTCTGCATTGACTACTAGATTTTCCCTTTGCCTCCCTGATGACGAGGGAAAATTTCAATGTTCCGTTGGAGAAAAAGGTATATACATCGGAATAGATGTACATCAAATTAGATGTCCTTCGTTATTTGTCCATTTCCTTTCTTCCAAGGATACAACTCCCAAAAAAAGGAAAGAGTCTGTTGAAAATACTTTGTATTCGGTACAAACACACACACACGCAAGTACATATGAGTTTTTAAATGATCGTTATGCACCATCTTGTTTTTGTTGAATGCCAATTATATATATGCCACTTCAATCTTCTTTGCTTCAGCTAACAAAATTTTCATTTTGCAGTTTATGTTGCAGGAGATAAATTGGGATTGAAGCTAGGACTAGGTAAGATTGATATCTCTGAAGTTAAATATATAATTGATCTCATCTAGGACAACTATTATAACCCAGAAAGGAAATCAAATCAGTCCCAAGTGCCTCTCAACAGAGGATTACTTTTCTAAGGATACATGAAATGAACAAGCTTTGAATATTACCATATTTCTTGCAGTGTACACCGTTCATTAATGCCTCCTTTCCCAAGTTTCGCACTATGTGCTTAAACACGGTGGGGGAGTAAATTGAATGCTCTGTAAAAGATACCCTTGATCAAATTTAACTCTCTTTTAAGCAAACGCTGGTATAAACTGCTCTGTAACTGTTTTATAATTTGACTCAATGCAGTCCTTTGGTTAAAAGTTGACCTCTCTCACTTGCATGCTTCAGGTATTGGATGTCCAGTACTTATTGCAGTATGCTTGTTTCTTCTGTGGCATTACAAACAAAAACGCGCTGCATCAAACTTCCTCTCAAGGAACATATCTTCTCAGCCCCACACAAATTCAGACATAGAAGGGGGCGTCACCTACTTTGGTGTCCCAGTCTTCACCTACACTGAACTTGAAGAAGCCACTAATCATTTTGATGGTGAAAAAGAACTGGGAGATGGAGGTTTTGGAACCGTGTACTACGGTAAGAGTTCAAAAAATCTATGCTTTTGTTTTTTTGAAAAACAAACAAAATAAAAATATAACAGTTACTTTAGGCAGTTAAAGAGGGAATGAAGTTGCAGAGTACATCTGCAGCACCTTACTGAAAGGCCTTTCTTTAATCAATCTAATATAGGCAAACTCAAAGATGGCCGGGAAGTTGCAGTCAAGCGTTTATATGAGCACAATTACAAACGTGTGGAACAGTTTATGAATGAAATTGAAATTCTCACTCGTCTGCGCCACCAAAATTTAGTCTCCCTATATGGCTGCACTTCACACCGCAGCCGTGAACTCCTCCTTGTGTACGAATACATTCCCAATGGCACTGTTGCTGATCATCTCCACGGCGAGCGAGCAGACACTGGCGCACTGGCATGGCCTATTCGTATGAGCATTGCTATAGAAACCGCGAGCGCATTGTCTTACCTCCATGCTTCCGAAATTGTACATCGTGATGTGAAGACTACCAACATTCTCCTTGATAACAATTTTTGTGTAAAAGTTGCAGATTTTGGGCTCTCCAGGCTTTTCCCCATGGATGTCACCCATGTCTCAACTGCTCCACAAGGGACCCCTGGTTATGTTGACCCAGAGTACCACCAGTGTTACCAGCTAACTAGTAAAAGTGATGTTTATAGTTTTGGGGTTGTTCTCATTGAGCTTATATCATCTCTGCCAGCAGTTGATATAAGCAGGCATAGGCATGAGATTAATTTGTCTAACTTAGCCGTAAGCAAGATTCAGAAAGGTTTATTCAATGAGTTGGTTGATCAATGTCTCGGATTTGAGTCAGATGATGAAGTTAGAAGGATGGTAATTGCAGTGGCAGAGTTGGCTTTTCAATGTTTGCAGCAGGACAACGACATGAGGCCTACCATGTGTGAGGTTTTGGAGGCTTTGAAGATGATTGAAAGCGGGAATGATTTGCCAGATAATTTAAAGCCAGCATTTGATAATGCCGGGATGAAAACGAATATACTGCCACCACCTTCACCAGATTGTGATGAGATTGGGTTGCTAAAGAACAAGAGACTACTATCTTCACCAATTTCAGTGACCCAAAAATGGCCTAGCACTAGGTCTACTACACCTAATGCTAGTGCCTGATATATATTTTTCCCCATTCTATGAAGTTTCATAATACAGAACATGAATGTGTTTCAGGTTTGATTAGGTGGGTTGAGGTTATTTTGTACTCATCTCCTTGATTTGTTGGTAATAGAAAAAACACATCCAGTTTGGCATATCAGTACTGCCAGGTAAAGGCTCGAGGGATTGTACATATTAAATGGAGATACTGTTGTTTAATGTTCATATTTTACATTATATTTCAGATCATGAATGCCCATTTAGATCTTCCACCGTTGTCCATTTCCTTCTGGCCTCTGCTTCCTCTGATATTCTTTATTAACCAAGTTTTGGATTGTCTGATTTGGTTGAGCACCTCCTCTACCCGGAAAAACGGAAAGAAACGATTAAAGGTTCTAGATTTTTTATATTATATTAGATTAAAGCTACTCTTTCACTAAACATTTATATAAACTCTTTTAAAATTGGAATTTTTTGTTAGGGTTTTTAGGTCAAAAGCTAATCACATTGTGATGGTGAGGTAATGACAACATAATTGCTCAAGAATCTTGGGTACATACTACTCCAACCTAGAAAATGGAATCTAGAAGAAGTGCAGGCTGGCTCACCTCAATGGGCAATCAAGTCTTGCATCTTTTCTTTACAAATTCCCCATTCCACAAATAGGCAGGCATCAATGGTCATGGCCTAAACCTGACTTTTCAATTGTCTTCAGTCAAAGAATGAGGTGTACGTACCTCTTTTTCAGAACCCCATAGATTTTGGATTTTGGATTTAGCACATTTGGAATTTTACTTGGAAAATGCACCTCTCTCTCTCTCTCTCTCTCTCTCTCTCTCTCCCTCTTTTTCCTCCCAAAACCCTCAAAACCCTCCCTTTCAAATTGTGAAAAAGAGAGAGACCCAATCACTATTAGTCTAAGTAGTGTATAAAAAAGATGCATCCACTTCCCAACATATCCTTTTTTCCATTTCAGAAGCAATCAATTGTCTCTACCCGGCAATCATTCACCCATTTAAATTCAAATTCCCTACAAACCCACAGCAAGAGACCCCCCCGCATGTATATATAGAGATCATGCCAGTTAGAAACAAACCTCAAAAGATGGGGACGCTACAGAAGTTCAAGCTGCTCGCGACGCAGTGCGGCGTGGCCCAAAGCCCAACCAGAAGCCCAAGAACGAGCCCATTGATCCAGCTCCGCCGCCGCAAACCCACCTTGCTAATGCTCCTGACCCGGAGCAGCAGTCGCCGACGAGATCCGCCGGTTCAGTGTCTGCCGCAGAAGGCTCCGGCTCCGGTTCAGAGGCACAGCCTCAAGGACCTCTTTGTGTCTTCCCCGCCTTTTGAATTGAACGAGAAAAGGAAGAGTGAGATGGATACGCGGCAAGAGTTCGGTTTGGTGGTGGCGGGTAAAGCAGTTGGTGGAGTTGGGCCGGGTTCGCCTAGACCGGGCTGGACCGGTTTCCGTTACAAGTCGTTGTTACTGAGAAGGGCTTGGCGCCCTGTGCTCGTTACCATTCCTGAGTAAATTAATTAAATCCTAATTTTTTGTACCCTCTTCTTGTTGCTATATCCAATTAAAGCATGTCTCAAGGGAAAAACATGTGTTCTCTAATCATGCACTTAAAAAATATTTTTGATATATGTGATTTTGATAATCAAAGAAAAACACAACTTTGTATGCACGCCATTATCAATCTTTTTTGAGGTATCTTGTTAAAGTTAAAGTGGCATGGACCAGGGCCGTGGCTGGTGGGAAATCACTGAAGTAAATCAAAAGCTGTGCCCTTGAGCTTGAGGGGAAAAAGGGCAAAGAATAATAAGGCATGCTTTATTACACCACCAAAGCTCAAGCTTGGCCATTTGAAAAAGCACAACTTTCGAAAATTCTTATCTCGCAATCCGATTGAAAACCAATTGGCAATCCCATTTTGGAGGTCATTCTCTGCAACCCTGAGAGTCTCCAAATTTTAGTCAAAATAGCTAGAAAGTCATTATAGCAAACTATTTTCTCCAACAATATTCTCTACTTTGGCTAATCTCTAATATTATTTCTCTCCTCCTCTCTAAATTAAAAGTTCATTAGAAAATCAAAAAGTAAGAGGTGAGAGAGGGTTGCGTGCCTAGGTAGAGAGAACAATAAGAAATGGAGAACCCTCAATTTCTCTCTTCTTCTCTCCAAATGTAGAGAGGCACCAAACTCAAATAGGGAGTTCTACAAAATAGAGAACCATATGCTGGAGCTGCATTTTGCCCTCATTCTAACCAAAATGGCTAAGAATCAAAGTATAGCAACTTTACTAGAGATGCTCTTAGTTATAACAAAATATGAAATCCATGAAAGAAATAAAAAAAAACTTTTGCTCGTCCAAATAAATGTAACAGTTCTCTGCTTTCGAATCATAGGGATGGAAAGAACTACTTCAATGCTAATTCAATGGCGTACATTTTAAAAGTAAAATACAAAGAAGGCAAATAACTTTTTTTTCTTCCCTTCTTCAAATGGGCTTACATTCATCTATCTTGTTATTTAATTTAATTATTACAGAAAAATTTCTTACAATCAAAATTAAGTTCAAAAAAGAGAGTCGTCGTTCAGTGTCTTGCTGCAAGCTGCTCTTTGTTTGCAAGAGGAATCGGTGTCCTCTGATTTGTTTGGGATTGTGATTGCCGCAAATCAGAGTTATTCACCACTCTCTCGTTGCCTCCATTTCCCTGCCGAGATTCAGCATGGCCATCAGGCTTAGGGCGGCCATTTGAATGCTCTTTTTCTTTAAGTACAACCCTCCGCAAGAACCTATCTATCATCTCGTAACTGGTAAATGTAATAACAGCAGAAGGAGTGGTTCTTAATAAATTAGTGGCACAACCATTGTAAAATCCACGAAGGCCTTCCTTTTGGAACACCTTCTTTGTACAATCAATAACCCCTGCATACTGGGCTTCAATATGTCTGGCCTGGCCTTGCTCTTGCAGCCTGGAGCGCACAACCTGCAGACAGGATAACGATAACAAAACATGAGAAAGAAAGAATGAAAATTTTTAAGTTGTAAGCAGTCCAAATTCCAATGTGTTTAATAAGAAGTCTAGCTGAGCATACCTCGTGAGGGTAAGTTATTACTGAAGCAATTACTTTGGATATCGATGAGGCAATGGCAACATTACCAGGGTTTAACTTATCAACAGTTGTACTATCTGAAAAGTTAAATTTCATGCGTTCAGATAAAGTTAGTAATAAGAAAATACTGAAGATTCCAGTAAAACAATCTAGCACAGAAGAAAACATATCACATTACCCCTTTTTGCCATAAAAGATTTTATCTTTTCATAAGCAGGAAATTGAATTGCAACATGACTTATCCCAGCCAAAGAAGGCAAGATCCCACTGTTTGAAACCACAAAAACAACAAAAAAGGTATCATGAACGGAAACCACACTTTCATAATTATTATAACTTGAGAGGGTTTCTTTATACCAATTTGGAACGGAAAGAGAATTTTGATTAGTACTTAAGCGTCAAATATGAAATTCCTAGTCTAGTGTCATATCTACATGCTATAATTGAAAACAAGAAAAATGACCTATATAGACCTCGCATGCCTTCCTCAGTTGCAATCCTTGTGAAAGCAGATCTCATGCTTTTGTAAGGAATCACACCAGGCCTCATTCCTTGTGTCTACATAAAGATGATCAAGAATGTTTAAAAAAAATGACAGGAGTTCAAACATTAATAAATGTGAAGTTCTTAAATTTTCTAAAACCATGAGCATTGAGTTAAGCCAGAAGCTCAAGATATGTAATTATGTGGAAGAGATTCATTACCCAAGTTAGATTACGCATCAACCCCAAGGATATTATATGCCCACACATTTCTTGAAAACCTATAACCATAAGCACTCTAGGACCATCTCTAACAATTAGATGGATCTCCAATTCAATTTCAAAAAGGAACAGATAACATCGCCGTAAGATATAAGCTACCAAATTATGGCAAAAAAGGAAACAAATTTAAAAAGAAGCACATGTTACTTCAAAACAGAAACCTCTAACAAGTTAGAAGTTATATCATATTAAACTCATATCTCTTCATATCCACTTCCCAGGAGCCATACTTTTGTAGTACAAAATCTATGCCAGCTTGGCCAATGCATCCGTCTTAGCACTGATATTGGATAACTTTGATCCTCTGAAAAATCCATCCATTTTCAGTAAAAATTCCCCGGTTTTAGTACTTCTGTGAGACTGCAACACAAAGAAGCATTTGCTATTGCAAACAAAAGCAAACTCCCATGCTTGAAAGGGCATATGCATTCTTAAATACTGTCAACTCTAATATAATTATGAGGAAACTTAACCACGAAATAAGCATGTGGTCAAGCAGAAAATGAGATAGAATCACAGATGTCATTATTACAATCAATGAAAGAACAATCATAAGAATATAATATATAATATATCTAGTCCCATTTTAAATGAATTACAAAGACAAGAACTGTAAACTTACTTGAAGTCTGGTCTTAACAACCCACAATGGATTTGTTGTAATGGCTGTGGCAGCCCCGGCACCAGCAGCAGCTATCATATTTGCACCAATCGTAAGTTCGCTGCTGCCATCAACTGCAGCATGACAATAGTGAATGTTTAAAACCAACTAAACAAATACTATCAAGTATCCCCCATAGCTCATAACTAAACCAAGAATAGAGGAATACTATGTGTTTCATAAGATATCATGAGAAGACCGACACAAATTTTCAAGTAAGCGACATTTAGGAAACCAACCATGCGACTGGAGTAGGCCTTTGAGTTGCTCATAAACTGTGAAGTACACCTACATATGAATAGAATACTTATGTCACCAACAGAACTCTATAAAGTATGTTAGATTATAATGTGCATGTGATCTGAAAGAGGGACCCATATCCTTCGGAACTCAAGTTTGCACAGTATAAGGGTTCCCAAAGACTTGTTTCACAATATATAGGCAACAAAAGTAATACTCACTGCCCAGTTTGGAAGTAGCGCTAGAATTGTTGGTGAAAGGCCACGATACATCCCCTTCAAACCTTCAGTTTTTAATATGTTTTGTAGGCTTGTGATAATGATACTACCTGAGCATAGGCCAAAAGGATAACAAAGAAGAACATTCATATATCAACAAGAGTAACAATACGTGGTATGCAGTACGAACTACAAGTATAGAGCCTAAGGCATGTGTGGCATACTTCTACTACTCAACGCATATTTTCTCATTTGTGGGAATAATCTACAGATCAAAAATTGCAACTCTAATCTGACTATGATTCCATTTCCAGTTTTCACCTAAACATGTGTTCAGCATACTTCCAATACATTAGCTAGTGACTCTAGTATGGTTAAAAATCGCTACTTGCCCCAACTTTTCTATAGATAAATTAAGGCCAGCAAACCCAGAATCACCCATTTCCTCTGACCACTGATAAATACAACATAATATGTTCAAGAGTAGTGAAGAATACCCCTTTGTCCCGGAGGCATGCCATGGACCTGTAGCCTAGTCTTGATGACATCCAAAGGGCACACGAACGTTGCCGCCATAGCACCTGCAAAGCTTAAAATATAACCAATTCGCAGACAAGAATGAGAAATTCATCAGATTTCCAATGCGTTCCCAAAGGAACGGAACCCTAGAAATTGAAAAGCGAAGGGAAAAGCTGACCAGCGGCGGCCCCTGCACCGGCGTGGCAGATGCCATCTCGGACAGTGTGGCGGTCAGAAGATTGAGCGGCCCCGCCCCCCATCGTCAAAGCACTGTCTAGTCTCTTAGAGCTGGTTCAAACTCAAATCAAAGGTAATTTGCATGGCCAATCCCAATGTATTAATTAATGTATGTATGAGAATATATGTATATTTATAGGTACTAAGTTACATTGATTTGATAGAGGAAGAATAGATTAAGGAGTGTGTTTGGGGTTGGAAGCCGAGACCATGAGACCATAAGACTGAGATTAATTTAAAGTTGAGCTATGTCGTCTGTGTTAGCTTGTTTGAAGGGTTTAAGCGATGAATAAGAACGTGTCAGGTGGGTTGCTTGGATTTGGATTTGGAAATGGGAAATGACCTGGAATTCATGAATTTGTTTCTCTCGGAGGGAAGTGGTAATTACCAAATAAAGGGGCTTGGCCTTGGTCTCTCTTCTCTGCTATTTCGACGACCATCATCAAATTGAAATCTTCCTACTTTTTAAACTCAATTTCTGCGTAATGGTAATATCCAAAGCATTCAGCTTTTTTCTGTTCACTTTTTGTTTTCTTTCCAATTTAACTTGAATTTTAGAGGTCTTGGCAGCTGCTCACTTTCTGCAACATTTGGTTTTTTTTTTTGGTTGCTTGTTTTCGTATGTGCTAATGTAGGCGGATGATAGATGTAAATATTCATAATTCAGACTTCTAACTTATTGTTATAAAACTAGAGGGAGAAAATGTAGAGAGAAGTGATATGCTAAAGATAAAGTTTCACCATATTTATTCTTTCCTTAATCTTTGGTAGAACCACCTATTTATAGGCTTACAAGATAGGAGATTGAATACCATCATTTACAATATACCTATAAGTTACAAGCACTAATTACAAATACTTAGTGCATAGGTTACATAAAATCCAACGGTGGAATACTAAGAGGTATGGCGATCATCCACCAACTCATGCATTTACAACATTCCCCCTTGGATGTCCACCATACAATGACATAGTTCTCTCATTAAAAACCTTGCTTAGAAAACCCAGTGAGACAAAACCAAAGCGAAGGAAAAAAGAGTGAAACTTTATTCTTGATCATTAATATGGTATTGAATACTCTTATGTTGCCTCGTTAAAACCTTGCTAGGAAAAATCCAGCGGGACAAAAACCTAGTTGAAGGGAAAAAGAGTACAACGTGTAGATGTCTTGTATGTAGTAGAATTGGGATGCTCCCCTAATTAATATCTCCCTCTGATTTTCATTAACTTCTGGAATTTAGGCTTCAGAAAAAGTTTTGGTAAAAAAGTTCGCCAGATTATCTTGTGAACGAATTTGTTTAACTCCAATCTCTTGGCTTTTTTCTGAAATTATCACTCTTGATGAACCCTTCTCTGATTTGAGCAATACAAGAAACATTGTCTTCACACATGATCGTTTATCACACTATTCGACCTGTTTTTCATTTTTCAAATGATTGAACTCTTTAGTAGCATCAACAACTAATTTAATGGTTAGAATATGTTACAACAATATCAAATTTGAATTCAAATTACTCAAACTCTTAGTGTTAACTCTTAATCAAGAATATCATGGTACTTTATATCCTTCAAGGGGTTGCTTCATGCGATATATCTCAAATATTTCATGAGCTTTGAAGATCTTCATGTACCATACAGTTTTAATAAATATGCATTTAACATATGCTATAAGTTTCGCGTTAAAATAATAATTGTACTTACATAGAAATGTGGATGCATCTATGATGAGATGGGAGACTAAAACCATGTCTCTACCAGGGAACCTTATGTCATATTAGTGATCTTATTTCACTTCACAAGTACCAATTCGTAACCTTCATAATTAATATTTGTAATTTGGTGTTTGAGTTATAGATTCTATATCCCACACTTCATATTTAGTGATAAATGGAATTGCCTATTTTCATTTTGGCTAATCACTTAACCTGTCGACATTGGTAAGGCGATATTTAATATAATCATAGCCCTTGATAATTGTAGTAGCTACTGATAAATCAAATGTATCATCAATTCGTGATCTCATAATTCTTATGTGCATACGCATGCATAATTTATAAGCATCTCATTGCTTTGGGGTACCAATGCCTCTTCAGGGGCTGATGTTATCACTTATGGGACAAACATCTCTTTTACGATGAATTAATTAGAATATGTGGATCATAACCTCATATAGAACGTTATTTTTTATAAGGCTTCAATTTTTCAAATAATCTCCACTTCTAGGGAGTTAAGTTTTTAGAACATATATTTTTGTCATGTTCATAGTCACTTATTGTCGTGTTAATGGATTGTGATACATGAATATCAATCCATGCTTGCATAATCATAACTTTATATATGCATTATCTTGATGAGACAAAAGCAGACCGATTCAACACTATTTCACGACGTTCTTCAGGAACTGTCATTTATCCCCCTAACGGAGGGAAAATTGTCTCAAAATGTAGGAAAATAAACTCATCATCATTATCAAGTCAAATTGATTGGATTGGATGATGTGGGAGTTGTGCTCGTAAGCGTCTCAACAAGAGACAAATATGTGACCATTTTAGTAGGCACATTCAATAAAACTAGTGAAGTGATCCATAATTAAATGTTGTATAGGCTCACAAATATCCTTTTGAATTATTTAAGGAAAGATGGCTCAAAGTCAATTTTTGACTGAGATAATCTTATGACAACTTTTATTTGTGAGCATTATGTGTAATGATATTTGTTGGACAAGACAATAGTTTGAGTCTTTAAACGACGTCCTTACAAATTTATAAAAATCTTATGTATCATTGTAGAACATGGATTGCTAAGATAGGCATGCCACAACATAAAAGTTATCCGATCAATGAACTTCTAGTTCATGACATCATAATTTTCAACTACTATAATAGTTGTGGGCCTCATGAACTTCTGGTTAATGACATCATAAACTTCAACTACTGTAATAGTTGTGTAATATTGAAACCTCATGAACTTCTGGTTCATAACATCATAAACTTCCTACTAAAAAAAAAAAGTAGATAGTTTCTCCAATAGACGTCTCTGGCTGTCAATATTAGGGCGGTAATTCAAGACATTATAAAACGAAATTAACTAATAACCCAACATAAATAAAATAAAATGAGTAAAGTGGTATAAACGAGGAATAAAATAAATAAATTAAAGACTATGAAATTCCAAGATAATTCAATATTAATGTGGATTCAATATGTAGATAAAACTACAAGTTTAAGAATTGGACTTCCAACCAATTCAGGTTCATATAAGCACAAATAAGTAATGAACTTCAGGTTCATATATAGTATTAGGATCCATAAAAAACTATGAACTTCAGGTTCATATCAACATATATTTGAAACTACAGGTTCGAATACGTAGATCTAAATAATGTGAATTAATAGTTGTGCTTTGAACTTCATACTCAAATCGATGTATATGCACTCGAAACTTCTGGTTCGGGTTCTTGACATATGTAAGCCTCATAGAATTCTAATTTTGATTAATACAAAATCAATGAGTTTCATGTCCTTATGTGCTCTTTAAATTCGAGGAACTTCACGCCCTTAATTATTTGGAATCAAAGAACTTCATGTTCTGATTCAATCAAAAGAACTCTAGGTTATGATCTAGTTATATGATAAGGATCGAGGAACTTTGGGCCCTGATCTTTTGTATAATACAAACTCATCATAATAATTAAGATGATACTTAAAATTAAATAAACAAACAAATAAAAAAAATGGCATTATATTCGTGTGTAATAAGAATAAGAATTTTTTTTCCTTAAACGAGCATGATGAAGTCTGATGGTGAGTACAAAGAAACTCTATACCATGTGATGACTCTAGCTCATATAAGAAGAAAGAAAATTCAAAGAAAGAAAACATACCAAGAGCAATATCGTGTTGATAACGTGTTATAAAACTAGATGGAGAAAATGTAGAGAGAAGTGATATACTAAAGATAAAGTTTCACCATGTTTATTCTTTCCTTAATATTTGGTAGAACCACCTATTTATAGGCTTACAAGATAGGAGATTGAATACCATCATTTACAATATACTTATAGGTTACAAGCACTAATTACAAATACTTAGTGCATAAGTTACATAAAATCCAACGGTGGAATACTAAGCGGTATGATGGTCATCCACCAACTCATGCATTTACAACACTTTTCTTGTTTTGTGAACGACGTTTTTTACAAATAAAAGATAACCACATATTAATATATCAGGCGAGTACTTCAGTTTGGGCCAGCCTATCTGAAGCTTTAGTATATTCTCTCTTTTCAGGGTCCAAAGCCCCTAAGTTAGCTAGTCTTAAATCAATACATGCGAAAATTGAAAAGTTTCATCAACTTGACCAAGAACAAAGAGCATACCAGGCCATGGTTGGCTTGGCAGTAAACTAAACATAGACCAAACTCCCAAGAACCTTGGCAATCTCCGTTTACAGACCCCCATTTTCTGGTGTTTCTGGTGCTTAAGCACCTATAGTAATGTAGAACAGATGGCGAAATGAATCGAAGATGAGTGGGGGAGATGTGCACGCAATGGTAAATAGGGTAAATTGCATATTTGAGCTCTGAACTCATAATCGAGCCCACGATCCGTCGATTCAAAGAGAATGACGTCACGAGTAAAACTCATCACATTGCCATAATGGTTTTTTCGGACATTCGAGATCGTTTGGCAGCCGAAATCCAATTTTTATAGTTTTGAAAACTTTGTTATTTTCCTATTTTAATTCATTCTTTATTCCTATTTAAATAAATTTTACCTGTGGGCGGGATTATGTTTTGTTATTCCAAATTATAAAATAAACCTTGAGATTTCCTCATATCTTCTTGGTGAATTCCAGAATTATATGTTCTAGGCTAAAGTTTTAGTCATCATATTGTCATGCTGCGTCATATAGACCTCGTTTGGTAGGGTGGCATGGATTAGCCCAATAAAATTGAAATAGCGTCCTGAGTAGTGCTTTGTGCATCCATGGGACGAAATTCAAACCCCAATTTACTCTAGCCAGTCTTATTCATAGTCATTCTATAGCAAGGGTCTTATCTATGGCCTTAGATGAGATCCTATCTCTTAACTGTTGGATTAGGCTAAATAATTTGATCCAACGGTTAAGAGATATGGCTTCATTTAATAGAAATTTAATTATATACCCAATTTTAGATATAGTTTTATAAAGAAACCCTATACTATTTAAAAACTATAAACACACCAAAAAAAAATCAAAAAATTGACAGGTGTCAAATTTTTTTTTTTTTAATTTAATAGTTATTTTTTAGTTTATTTGTGTGTGTTAAATACCTATATTGTCCTTGTACTATGAATTTAAGAGAGGAAAATCATATCTGCCAAAAAACAGGATCTGTCATAAAACCAAATATGCCCAGATCTGCCAAAAAAACTAAATCTGCCAAAAAACCAAATCAGATTTATTTTCTCTTTTCTTGCTAGTGTTTTCTCTGGTGTTAGAGCAAGATAAGCTTCCATT